TTAGGTGAATGCCCTGATGGACTTCGAAGATGAGATTTTCTGCTTAGGGTAAGCAGAGATAAGCAATTTGATTGGTTGATGCTTTGGTACACAATAATTTTAGTTCTAATTAAAGATACATTATGGGAGATAAGATAACGAGATGGTAGGTCTCGCTATAATAGTTAAAAACTAGATAGTGTAAAGGTAATTTGCTAAAAATTTCAGTCAAATTGATCCACCATGAGCCGAGAAAGAAGCTCGTGAAATTTTGGCATAGTTTCGGTCATTACTAAAATCATTAATATAAACAGCAAGTCTCGATTATCCACTTTTTTTTATTTAATTATCAACGGCCGTTAACGGCATATAGGAATCTAATCCAGCCAACATCGAAGGCTAGCCTTGACATCGAGAGTTTATTATGGTCTGGATAAGTTAATTAATGTCTAATTGATAATTTAGATGACATTTCAGGCCTAAAGAAAGACTTGTAATAAGCAGATTTTGCTCTTGCATAATGCATGTTTAAGTGAGAGGGAGGACAGATTCCTTATCTCATTACCTTGACTAAGTTCGATGTTGAGAATTTTCTGTTTAGGCTAAGGAGCGATAAGCAATTTGATTGGTCAAGACTTTGGAACATAACAACTCTGCTTTTAATTGAGGCAGAATGTTTAAACTTGACTTAGTTCAATGATTAACATTTCGAGCTAGAGCTAAGCAATTTCATTTGTAGATGCTTTGGGACAAGATAACTTTGATTCTATCTGATAGAGAGTGATGAAACTTAGTAGTGTATAGTTGATAATCAGTTTGATTGCTTGATACTTTTGTAAAAAATAAATGTGCGATTAATTAATATTGTTATCTATTTACTTTCGGATATCGGAGGGTGACATCGGTCTCACTGTTCGCCTATTCTACTTCTACTTTGAAGTGTCTCTATAAGTAGCTTTATCATCAATCGTATCTTCTATAACGGTGATTATCTCTTCCGAATCTGATATTATGATTTCAAATTCCACCTAACTCCTTCAACAGGGTTATCTGTATCTCTCGGAAATAATCTGTTCTCGTCTGATAAATTTAAATTGTCTTTCTCTCCGAATACTATATTTCTTGGATAATAGTTGACGCTCTAATCTTCTCCAGAACATTATTTAGGAAATTCTTCTGACAAATTACGTCAATATGGACTAAATACGAAAAATCTTTCATGTCATTGTTAACACCAGTTAATTAAACATACATTATGCAAGAGCTAAATCTGTCTATTGCAGGTCTTTCTTTAGGCCTGAAATGTTATCTAAATTATTAATTAGACATTAATTAACTTATCCAGACATCAACTCTAGATGGCATCGCTAGCCTGCGATCTTAAGTGGATTGTGAGCCGATTTACTGCATAACTTTCCTTCTCGATTAAATAGATAATCGAGACTATGCTGTTTATCGTACTGACTTTAGTAATGGTGACCGAGGCTAGGCAGAAATTTCATTCGCTTAGTTTTCGGTTCATACAGGTTCAATTTGATTAAAATTTTCAGCAAATTGCCTTTACGTTATCTAGTTTTTAACTATTATAGTGAGAACTGCGAACTCGTTATCAAATCTCCCATAATTTATCTTTAAAACACGAATTATGAAAACTACAAAGAGGAAGAATTATCAACATATTATTTGACAAGCAAACAAAATGAAGCAACTCCGCGTGAAATGAACTAAGACTATTAATGTAGTGCGAGTTATAGACAATTTTTCCTTTAATTTTGTTCTCCCCTCTAACTGGATTCTTTGGTTGACTTTCTGGAGAAAATGGGTCAAATTTGCAATTTCATAGCGAAAGGCGAATGCAAGAAAAATATGGATAATGCCACTTGATGATCGAGATTTCCCGGGTATCTTTTATTTTGCTTAAAAGTTAGAACCAAAGGAAAATGCTGTGTGCTAATAATACGAGGTAGTGTCTATTTTAAATGTCATTTATAATGTATTCTATTCGCTTAATCCAGTAAATATTCGCTTATCTATGTTAATAAATCTACGCTGATGAAAAAATAATAATATTATTCACAGTTTTTCGACCAAAATTAGATTTCAAGATAATTTTTCGCCTAACTTAAAGTAGCTAAGTCTCTAACTCAATATCATCCAAAATCTTCAACTTTGAAAACACGAATTAGTTGTCAATTTAAATCAACCTTGATGCTGTGATCTTACCGGAAAAAGATGGGCTTCTGATATCCAATATTTAAGACAAAATAAACATTTTACCATTGGTACACGAATCGTGTACCATAATGCGTTTCAGTCCCAGTTCTAATAAGAGACTCGGGGAACGAGGCTAGACACATTGCACCAAATCAAACGGCGTATGTAGACTGGAATAACCAGACGCTAGAAATTTGAATTCGATTGAGACTGCTGGCTTATTTCGTGGAACATAACTGATTTGAAATTAGAGTAAAAACGGAAACCATTGAATGTAAATCAGTTTATATACATTCATATTACAGTATTATATGCGTTGCGACCCACTTCTGTCAATTTCTAGGTCCCAAATGTTAGCGATTTAGCTCCTTTAAATATGAATAGGCTTAATTGTTGCATATTTTGTAATGTAAACATGTCGACTAAACTGCGTAGTCAAATGAAAAACAATCTGATTGAAACACAGATCCTATTTTGTTTCGTTTTTTATTGTTCAAAATTTTACTTGTCTTCACTACACTGGGATATGGTAGAGTTGTTATATAAGCCGCGTTCTGGTTAAGGTGAGGGATTAACCAAACAAGCGGTCTGTTACGGCGAGTTCTTAGCGTACTGTGCACGGAACTATGGGTAAACAAACCACTAGAAAGGTCAACGCTGGTTGATTAATCAATATGTGACATCATAGTCAAAAATCGCTCGTATGACCTCTGACGCGACCTATCACTACAACCGGTCAGATCTTCATGTAGTGTTGGCCATCGAAAGTATAAAAACGAAACGAAATATAGATCTGTATTTTAAACAGATTGAATGAAAAAAAAGAAACATTGCCGATCAGTAGTGATAGCCAACGAGTCTTTTAATAAATCCACGCTGATGAAATAATAAGTACTTCATTGTCGCATTTTATACACCCACATTTTTATGTGGACATATATTATCGTCGCCCCTGTTCGTCCATTCACAATCAGTTTGTAGACACTCTACAGCTCACAATGTTTATTCGATTTTGACGAAACTTAAAGGAGCTAAATCGCTAATATTTGGGACTTACAAATTGACACAAATGGGTCGCAACGTATATAATAATGTAATATGAATGTTTTACTCTAATTTCCAAGCGTTATGTTCGGCGAAATACGCCAGAAGTCTCAATCCAATGACAATCTCTAGCGTCTAGTTATTCCAGTTTACACCTATAGTCTTTATTGCGCATGCTCTCTAGATAAGAATATGGGGTCACCGTTTGACAAGACTTGTGAAAAATCACTTGTTACAATTTGCGCTGAAACGCGTGTACCAATCGTAAAATGTTTACTTTGTCTTAAATATTGGATATCAGAAGCCCATCTTTTCACGGTAAGATCACAACACCAATGTTGATTAAAATTGACGAATAATTCGTGTTTTCATTGTCGATATTCGTGCATGTATGACCATAATAGCGTTTTAAGCTGCTTGTGGTCCCTAGAGGTCACAATTTTAATCCGATTTAAAAAACACCGTTCGAATATATCGTTACACCATAATGATGGTTGAACTCGGAATTTCGTGAAAATCGGACCAAACTGTCCAAAAATTTACCGCTTCCTGTACGCAAATAGTGTTCAAGTAAGAAATATCAATGTTTGTGCATTCTTTAGTGGTCACAATTTTGATTTAACCTAAAATATATGTTTATATCCCCTAGATCTCGATTCCTGTAACTTTCAGGATTATGACCACTGATTGTACGAAAAAGTCGCGATATTAACTTGTGGATCCTCTAGAGTTCACACTTTTAATCCGATTTTAAAAATCGTATAATAAATCACCGTTACACCCTAATGGTGGTTGTATTATCCAGAAATACATGGATTTATAGGCCGGCTAAATAGTATAGACCAAAATACAAAATAAATGTATGTATAGGCCTGAACCATTACACGGAAGAAAGCAACGGGCAAAGCTTAGAGTTGTGGTTAAATTGCAACAGGTAGTGGTATTACTTTAAGGAATTGGATGAATGAAGAAACATAAATACAAACTAGAAATCAATGAATACTTTAAAGTAAAATATGTCTGAATTAAACAAAACAGGACGATTATTAGTTTCATATAAAAAAGGAAAACCGCATAAGCGAATATTTAACGAATTAAGTGAATAGAAGACGTGTCTTTAAATTGCATTTAAAATAGACGCCTTCTCGTGTTATCAGCACATCGCATGTCTTCGTTTCGTGGTTATATTTTAAAACACAATGAAAAATACGCGGGATATTTACAGGTAGAAAGAACAATTTTATGCATGCGAATTTATTGTCAGTATTGGTCAGATTTAGGTCTTTTTAGACGTTATTTCCGACCAAATCTTTTTATTTTTCAACCACCTTGAATGTGACAGAAAAGTACGCTTTAAACCCCATGTCATTTTAATTTATTTTTCTGATTTTATAGTTATCGTGCAGGCGTTACTAGATTTCAAAAGATTTTAATATCTCAATGTTTTGTATAAGAAAATACTCCAAGGAATGTTAAATATATAGCCGTTGCTTAGTTTACAAGATTATAAATCTAAATAAAACAAATAACGTTAAAAAAAACGATTAACACCAATCCACTAATTATTGAAAACGTGCCAATTGTACTTCAAAATGGTCGGTTCTATCCCGCATCGTAATGCAGTTGATATTAACACCTAATAGTTTGAACACGATCTTTTAAATATATAACTCCTTTGATAAAAATAGTATCAAACACTATACTCATGCTGGACATTTTGTATACACGTACCCGGCATCCAACGAGCGAATACAGGATATTTACTAATAGTAAACACCTTATCGCACTGTTAGAGCGGTCTAGTCGCTTGCCGTCAGTCGGTTTGGGGCTTTGGACTTAATAAGGTGCACATTTTCATTGTTGTTTTTTTTCTATAACACGTGGTTGGCGCGTTTTGAATATAGCAGCATAACCGTTTCTTAAAAATACCGATCATACTAAAATTAGCTGCGCTAACTATGTGATTGACTTTGGAAATAGGAGGATTAGTTCTGGTCTGTAATAACATTTTCTAGTTCAGCTTGTGTAGTTCAATTGTTTCATAATGGAATTCGAGGATAAAAGTAAAATGCAGATTAACAGGAGATTGTTGTACATATTCCTGTTGTTATTTATTATAATACCAGTTGTTGTCGGGGTTTTGGTGTGGCATTTTACGAAAGACCATTATGAAAAATCTCAATCGTCAACAGATAGTATTGTCGGTGGTGAAGAAACGACTCTTATGACCACTACTCATGGATACTACCCAGACCAACCATGGAGAAATTTACGTCTTCCGCGTACCATCGTTCCAGTTCATTACGACATCACTCTTTACCCTGATTTTTACGAAGATAATGGTTGGTTTTATGGAAATGAAACAATTACAATTCGCATTGACGAACCTTCCAAATATATTCTTGTTCATTATAAATATATGAATATTACACGGACAGTACTTACTAACCATAGAAATGGAAATGTCATTGCTATAGCACAAACTTTTTCCAATGAGGAAAATCAATTTTGGGTAGTTGAGACAGAAGAATCGTTAGCAGCAGGGACCACAGTGGATCTGTTTTTGCAGTTCGATGGATCGCTTACAAATGCAATTGTGGGCTTTTATAAAAGTACCTATGTCAACTCGCAAACAAATGAAACCAGGTAAGCCATTAAATATAAGATACAATACATAGCGAAGACACGACTGTGCGTGACATAAGTGTCATTGTAGGGAAAACATTCTCTTTATAGCATTCAAAATGAACCAGTCTACTTGAGATCACATTTTCGTTGCATATATGTAAACATATTACATACGCTTAAATTTTGCTAGGCGTAAACTGAATGTATTTGTCGTAAAATGACACTTCAATAATGTAATCAACTTTGGTTGCTACTTCAACGAAGCTACACTGGGAGCCTAAAATGGTTTTCTTATAAATAAAATATCAGATCGTTAATTTGAATTTGTCTTGACTATAAAACTGAGTAATGTTCCTGTATGAAGATTTGTGGCGCATGTTAAAAACCTTATGGTATTGGGTATCCAAAAAAAGGTTACGAGATTTCTCAAATATGTTTCTCTTTTTCTGTCCATGTTTTAATTAAATAGTGTTTGCTAGGGTTTTTTTTCTTTTTATTTTTCGCTCTGTTAAAATCACATTAATGTGTAATGAAACCTAGATAAAAATCGAAATAATACCTATCGCCGAGATAAGAATATTAACATAGTTAAATTTGACACAATTTTCTCGCCAGGGTGAAAATCAGAAAAATGAATTAAAAATATAATTGATCTAACGCATAGGCGTCTTCCTATCATTTGGGACAAAATGATCTTGAATCATGTGAGATGGAACATGTTCGGTGCCCCCGCCTTAGATTACTGGAATCAGTTCAAGAATAATTTATCGGCACAGCAACCTTCTTTTAACATTACGCCCACTCGACCCACTTAAGACTTTTAATTGCCTTTATATTATTACCCATATTTCTTTCTTTTTTTATGGAAATTACAGAACGTCACTGAACTCGTTCATCATAAAGCTAAAAAAAAAGTTATTATTACCACAAAGAATCTTTTAGGAATTCGACTTTTCAAAGGTTATGTGTTTTAGGAATTACATTATTTACTAGACAAAATAAGACATCTATTTGAAGACCAATTTATCATTAGTGTTTAACTTCATGCCACATAAACCCTTACTAAATATAACCAACATACCGATCCCCGAGTTCAAAATAACTCAAACTTATTATTAAGTCATAAGAAAACTCCACTGGGAATAAATATCAGGTTCTTAACTCCGTTATAAATGAGGATGATTTAATATTAATTTATAGCATTATTTGTTCGTAATTATAGATGAAAATTTCATTAAAATTATGAAATTACAACACTTTATTACATTTTGATTAAATCAACGATTTTATATTTGTATATTTCTTGGTTTAGATTCATGAATTAGTTATTAAACTTGAATGTGACATAATTTTTTAACACATGTATGAATAGAATAATAGGGACGGTTTAAATTTAAATTCACAATTCGTTGATTTTATACCACGACAATCTTAGTTTAGGTGGGGCAGTAATAATATGTCCTTTCATTCTATATAATGATATACATAATATCATATATCATATGCCTATTGAGTTCTTGGTTACATAAAAAGGGGATAAAAAGCAGTGCGTCGAAATAGTTTCTATTTTAATGGAATTTTTTTAGTTTAGCCCCTGCCAAGTGAAGTTACGCTAAACATATCTAGACACTGGCTTATATGTAACACGAGACATACCCACGATAATAATAATATTAACTTTGCCTGTGCTTTTGCATATATGATGAGTAAATCGCTTTAATTTAAAGGAGCTAAATCTCTAACATTTGGGACCTAGAAATTGACAAAAGTGGGTTGCAACGCATATAATACTGTAATATGAATGTATATAAACTGATTTACATTCAATGGTTTCCGTTTTTACTCCAATTTCAAATCAGTTATGTTCGGCGAAATAAGTCAGCAGTCTCAAGGGAGTGCAAATTTCTAGCGTCTGGTTATTCCAGTCTACATACGCCGATTGATTTGGTGCAATGTGTCTAGCCTCGTCCCTCGAGTCTCTTGATACAACTGGGGCTGAAGCGCATTATGGTACACGATTCGTGTACCAATGGTAAAATGTTTATTTTGTCTTAAAGTGATAATTTCATATTTTTAAGTTATATTTTTAAAATGTATTAAATTAAAGCCTTAAAATAGATGGTATCTATAAACAGACATACTTTAATAAAGAATAATCCTATAATTCACTATTGCCAGTTGAGAAATTGGCAAATATATCATTTTCAACTTCAAATTCAACGTTTGAAGATAGCTATTCCATGGGGTGGGGATAGAAAAACAAGGGAGGTGATTGTGTTATTATTTCCGGTGTGAATGATTTTTAAGTGTGAGAATGATACCTATGATCGTATAATAGTGAGCTGACAAACTATTGAGCAAAAGACATAGAAATAATTATGTTTTGACTTTCTTAGAAAATATGAAATTCTCGCTTTAAATATTGGATATCAAAAGCCCATCTTTTTTCCGGTAAGATCACAACATGAATGTTGATTTAATTTGACAAATAAATCGTGTTTTCAAGGTTGAATATTTTGGATGATAATGAGTTAGAGACTTAGCTACTTTAATATATAATTGACATAATTTACCTCGACTATGAACCACTGGAGTTTCCAAATAGCTGGCATTTTGTTATAAATGGAATAAAACGATAAGTGCAGTGGTCCCATCGTGTATGGCAATAAGCCAGTTTCGAAGACGTATTTAATTTTCTATCATCGCCAAGGGTAGTTAATTTCATTATCGTTCGAACATACTTTCATTAAGTCTTGTAACACAATACTACCACTATAACCTTCGTGGGAAAGAATACAAGATTTTACAATTCGTTGATTCAAACCATGGTCTAATTCTTAACATGTGTCAAATACAAGCCAACTAGTCAGATTTACCTACAGTAAAGAGTAAAATGAAGTTAGATAATGTACTAAATAAAATGTAATGATGCAACTTTTGGACTAGAAAAGAAGAATAAAAATTGGATGAACATGTTAATACTTCTTTATATATCAATTTAATTGATGTTTTGCCACGTGAATGTAGATAAACACCAAGACAGCAGTTTACAATCTTCTAGAAATAAATAAATCCCTACAGAAGTCAGGGTTTAACAGTGTCTAATGATGTCCAAATACAACAGAGCATGAGTAGGACAAAGTTTGGCAGTTCTTAAAGTCAACACGGTTTACCTCCAGGCCAAATGTGATGTTGACTTAACTTCTGGTCTTCGATAACCCCTAATCCCCCACGATTACTCTCATAACACCCGATACTTCTATTCACTATATTCATGTTTTTCATTAAATATTCTAATCTGCTACCAATAAAATGGGTTCAAAGTGAAACATTGCAATTTAAAGTGGTTCATTTTGTACCAAATTCTTTGGGTTCCTTGTATCAGCGCATCGTTATTTATTTAAACTTGGCATTTAAATTTGTCATAATAAAAGACTTTTGATGGGCATTGCGACCCATACTCCAACCCCTTTGTCATTTGCCAAGTAACACGTCTTCTAAAATCCAAGTTATCACTTCAGTCGGTCATTTCTTATACTAGAAAGGTATTGTCCATTCACATGTTAGAGTATAATAAGCCCCATGTACCTGAAGCAACGACTGCGAGTTTTACAACATCTTGCCGTTGCTAAATTAGTCTGAAATTCCCAAACTTTTAGGTAGTTATCTCCCTTTACCACAGACACGTGATACAAACAAGATTCGTTTATAGCCGCTGAAAGCTTTTTTATAGTTGAAACCTTACTCGAGCATAATGGAAGAACAAAAAGTCAAAGACATCGGCCAACTAACTCAGTTTTTTTGTCTTCGTCGACTTTTCTGCACTGGGTCGTGCTTTCCACATATTGAATGATCAGTAGATCTGGTATGCATTCACCACCCATACCTCCGTCACTACGAATGATTTGTAAATTGTAAAACAAACAAAACACAAGACTTCTTTCGAATCATAGAAGTTTGAAAACTGGTTAATACAAATTATAAACCCACAACTTGACATATTGGCGGTTTCGAACACCCGAATTTCAATATTCACATGAGCTGTGTGTTCCAAAACAATAAGTTATCAATATATAATTTTATGGAAGAATACATGTGTTTATTTCTTTTCGTACAGAAATCTGGCAACTTCAAAATTTGAACCAGTTGATGCTAGAAGAGCTTTCCCTTGTTTTGATGAACCTAATATTAAAGCTGAATATACTATTCATCTAATACACAGACCAGAGTACACACCGTTATCTAATATGCCAGCTAATTCTCCAGTAAGTTATTATACTATAATTCACCACTTTGGTTTTATAAAGTTGACTAATTGAGTTATGTTTCACCAACTAAACGTGAGCAAACTAAAGTGTATACGCCAACGTGCAATAACTTAATCGATAAAGCTACAAACACAGTGTCAAATTGATAGAATATGTCTTCATTTCTGCCTAAAGTCAGTATACTATATTAAAGTTTCTTTCACCGATGTATTATCCAACAGTTAGGTAATACAATTACATCTAGTCACTTTTATTGATAGAATATATATCTTTTCAGTCAATGGAGGTTAGCTGGTCAGCAGATCTAGTGAAAACATCTTTTCAGAGATCAGTTAAAATGAGCACATATCTCGTCTGCTTTATTGTGTGCGATTTCAAATACTTAGAAGCCACAACATCAACAAATAAAACGGTAACAAAGATAATCATATTTTCCGTCATTCACGATTTTTGCAGTGATAATAACATATGCACGAAATAGATTTTATGTTACAACTATGTGACCTCCTGGTATGAGGAGGGGTCTCATTTTCCAATATGGCAGCCAATTTACATTTTTAAATATATGAAATTCATATCATCCATAAATGGCCCTTTTACTCGAATGGTGATTTGGTGTTGAATCAGTTAAAATTTTTAGTTCAGCTATATATGTTTTCGAATAGTTAGCGTACTCTTGCCATGCAAGAGATGCCCGTCGTTAAAAGTTACCTGAACTTGTGGATTTCCACTTTTTGTAGTCATTTAAAGATTTTTGGTTTGTTCTTACCCGAAGAAGGGCTTATGCAAAGGTGTTTTTCTTATCCGCAGAATCTCGTATATTTTATTTTATATTTTTTAATCATGTAAGTCTTTTAATTCGTGTATGAGCAAGCAAACGACGTATAAGTAAATAAATCCTACTCTGAAAGAGACATCAAGATAAACATTTAGGAAAGTGGATGGTACATAGCAGTGTGAAGTGTTTGTATGCTCTTCATATTCTAACATCACTCCACTTAAAATCCATATTACAAACTAGCACAAACAAGATATTGTGTTAAATAGAATCTACAGAGACCGATAGGTAATAAAACGATAATACCAAATAATATTTCTGAAATCCAAGCTAACGTCGTCTACATATTTTACAATTAACTAGACATTACCAAAAATAAGTAAATTAACGACTATGAGAGGGAAAGAGAGAAATGTGGTTTAACGTCCACTCGACACAAACTATGTCATTTCGGGACTAACATATCATAGGGGTCTTTAGCAGTGGGAGTAAACCGGAGGACCCGGAGAAAACCCATGAGGCTGGACAGGCGACCCAACTCCTTGTCACGTACAACCGGGGAATCGAAACCACGCCGATTGACTCAATGACCTTATGATACAGCTCGCACACGCTAACAATTCGGCCATCCACCCCCACCCCCTAACGACTATGAACTACATGTATAGCAAATTGAAATGTCATAATACGAGGCAATACAGCAAGCGGTTGGTGCGTCAATGGAAAATGACCATGTCCATTCACCACTTGCATTATATTTTCCGGAATATAATAGACAAAACACCTATCGATGATAATTGAACTTAAAACAAGTTAAAACATGAAATATGTTACCTGAACTAGATAAGCCCTCAATCAAATCAATGCTGGTACCGAATCAGCCTCTGATATTAATATAAATAATGATAAATATAAGGTCGGAATATTCTAAAAGATGAAGGAATTCGGCTTTGAAGTTGTAAAAAATATCCTTCACTTAAACATGAATTATGCAAGAGATAAATCGACCAATTTACACGTGTTTCTTTAGGCCTTAACTGTTATATAAACTATTAATTTGGCATTTATTAACATGCCGAGACCATAATCAAGTCCGATTTTAAGTAGATTAGAACGGTTCAGCCATTTAATGATTTAATCTAAAAATGGTGAAGTAAGGCTAAACTTCGAACAACAGGTTACAATCAGTCCAAACATCTTGTCAAACCTTCAAAGGCTAATATCTTCGCTCAAAATAAAGTAATTTGAATGAAATTTTCAATATATCCATTTTGCATTATCAATTTTTGAACTATCATAGCAAGAACGACTTGCTCTTTATCTAAATCTTCGATAATGTATCTTTAAAGTAACATACTAGATGCTAAATGAATTATTCGATTTTCAACTATATGTGTAATGGGAAAGAACTGTTTTTATATAAAATGTACAGAAAAGGGTGAAATACATGCGTTCTGAAATAAATACATGTATATAATCTTCCCTTACTGCGACATACAACGACTGACGTCTTACATGTGTATATCTGGCCATATTTTGTAAAATAACATAATATATTTCATCTGTCTATAATTATTCTCAAATTCTTAATTATAACCAGTATAGCTGTTGTTTCTGAAATTTTAACAAAGTTATCACACGTATTTGCTATTGCTAGTGTTTTGACATCACTCCGCAGACACCAAGACTGGTTAACGTATTATCGTTTCCTAATTTCTTGTACTCAGTGGATAGGGTTTTTTTTGTTTTTGGAGACGTTGTATTTAAAACATTCATTCCTGCACTGCTATATAGTTTTCAAACCCCAAAGATCTAACTCATTGATGGACTGGATCGATCTAACCCATTTATGGATTGAATAGATCTAACCAATTTATATATTGAATAGATCTAAATCTAAATCTTTTTCTTCAGTGTACTGACATTTAGATTTCATGTAAACACACATCCAACACTAGAAATGCTCACTTTTTCGAGTTGTCATGTTAATTAAAGGTAATAGAAATTTATCACTGAAATTTAGGGACTGTACATCGCAGTTGGCGCTTACGGTAGGCCCCAACGGGTCCATTTGATAGTACTTATGTGTTATGTGTGTGTTCGCTGGTTTATCTGCGGGATTTATATGGTTGTTGTGCGGGACGCGGTTCTCCTGTACATACTATTAGATCTATATCTGTATTTAATAGATGCTTCAAAATGCAATAACATCAAGTTGGTCATTATTGATGGTAAACAATGGTTTATTCCTTTTTAGTTGAGAGTTTATGCCACACCAGATAAGATAGACCAGGCACAATACGCTTTAGATGTAGGTAAACATACCATGGAGTATTATGAGCAGATATTTGAACTTCCTTATCCGTTGCCTAAACAAGGTAATGTTCATAATAACCCCTAAAATTTTATACCTGTTATAAGTATAAGGTCTCATGTTTACACATGACCGACGATGTTGTACGTTATTTATGTTGGTTTAAACTATAAATTCGTGCTTATGCTTAAATTGGGTCCAGACCTTGTAATGTATATATCTATATGTTACAGCAATACGATAACTTGAAATTATAATTTTGTAAAAACGTATTCAGACACTTGTTTTACCCCAGTAGAACTTTACATTAGAGCACGGAGCCAAGTTTATATCACTTGGAAGTGTACGATTGCAAATTATGCAATAGTGTCCTCTTAATGAAACTAAATTTTGCACCAGTATTGTTTTCTTGGTCTCATTGGAATACATTAAAGTAAGCATGTTACACAATGGCATTAGAAGTAAGTAGTTTATTAATGTCAAACCATTATTCTTTTTACGAATATTTGCAGAAATATTTAGTAGTGGGAAAATTTAACACCTTATAGAGTCCAAACGACATTATTGATTTAACTTACTAACGATCGTATTAATAAACCCCAAAGATCTACGATGCAACGCTTTTTTACCCCCTATACTACCGCCACTATATTAATATCAACTAATTGTCGTTTCTTTATTCTCGCCTTTTAAGATATGATAGCTATCCCGGATTTTGTATCTGGTGCTATGGAACATTGGGGTCTTATTACCTACAGAGAGACCAATCTTTTATACGATGAGAGTAGCGCTTCTTCTACCAATAAACAGAGAGTTGCAACAGTAATCGCCCACGAGGTTGCACATCAGGTATAGTAAGGAAATTATGTTGTAAATTCTGTAAAAAGTTTTTAATATTTTTCAAAATGAATTACGCTTGAGGAAACTGTAAATATAGTCGTAATTTATTTCTAGCTCAAACGACAGAAACATGTTAATCTGGATTATTCCACATGAAAAATAAATCATCAATTAATGTTTTTTTTGGTTTTTTTTCTTACAGTGGTTTGGTAACATAGTTACTATGGATTGGTGGGATGACCTCTGGTTAAATGAGGGTTTTGCTAGTTTTATGGAATATTTTGGTGTTGACACCTACGAGACGGATTGGGACATGGTAGCATTTTTTAGCCTGATTTTATTTTGATTCTTCTAGTCCAATTTTACCCCCATGATCGTAAATTAGTAAATACGTACCTCCCTGTGTTTCTTTTCTCTATTTAATATATCTACAATTATGTTAATCCCAATGAATTGATCAAGAGATGGTCGTGTGAAGTAATCCATGTTGAGTTATCACGAGAAAACGATGAGTTACGTTGGCTCTAATGTACATTTTATATATAAACAATTATATATAAATTTCGTTTATTATGGAAGCAAGAATAGAAATGACTATTTTGTCTTCCTGCCTAACATTTATCCCCAGACTAGATAAATTATAGAAGACATATTGACATTAAAAAGGCCATTTATTCATTAAATGGCATATATATTTGAATTATTTTAATGGCATAATATTTCCATTAATATACTTAACAGTCTTTCTGACAAAATTTCTATCTTACATAAATGAGCAAAATTAGTAAACCTCTGATCAACGATGTGGGGTTAAACACCGCCATAAATTGAACTTCTTATAGACGTGGAATTCACCCATTTTGACGCTACCATTACTATGTTACAGATGGGCCAGTTTGCAATACTTGATCCACAACCTGTCATGGTATTAGATGCTGGATTAGAATCTCATCCAATTGTTGTTCCTGTCCAGAAACCAAGTGAAATTAATGAAGTATTTGATGCTATATCATACAATAAGGTAAAGTGGAATTCTTGTTATAGTGATTATTATTTGTAGACATTTTTAATAAAATGTTATATAAACTCTATAATGCATACACGACAACGTTTACTTTTTACTTGTAGGGTTCATCAGTAATTCGTATGATTGAGTCAATTATGGGAAAGGATAAATTTTTCAGTGGAGTTGCGGTAAGAAGTGTCTTCCTTTTTGTCTCCATATATATATATATATATATATATATATATATATATATATATATATATGTTTTAGTGCTAATACATGTAATGTATTAATAAAGATGAAATGAAATTAAATGGGGTTTAACGTCCTACTGTTCTGCTCCGACTGGGATAATGAAGACGAGTATACGCCATATTGCGCAATGAGGGAAATTTTGCCCGGATAGCGGCACTACGGCCTACTCTTATATCGAATTTCAACTGTCAAGGGATCTTTTACGTGCACGCCAATGTGTACACGGGACCTCGGTTTTTCGTCCCATCCGAACGACTAGACAGCTGTCCTTGTCAGGCCCTCCGTCCTGCATCACGGCCAATGCAGGGATGGAACACCCGACCTCCTGAGACGTTCCGGAATGTTCAAACCTGTGTCACCTCATTCACGAGATTCACTAATATTACGTAATCGGAGAGAGAGAGAGAGAGAGAGAGAGAGAGAGAGCATCATTGTCAGTTGAAACTATATCTACTACTTAATGCTTTACTCGAAGTTTTGTCTTTACTTTCGAATTAGAATTATACTTATTTGTATTATCATTATAGAAATATCTCAAGAAATACGAATGGGGTAACGCAAAAACAGATGATTTATGGCAGACGCTGAGTGAGGTAAGCTTGTGTTACTTATTGTTATAACTTACATGTCATACATCACTAAATAGAGGATGATCTTTTTTATATTATGTAAATAAAAATATGTCGTCCATGTGATATCAGTAGCACTTGATATAGTATATAGTCTTGTTTTGTAGGGTTTTAAGGACAGTCTAACCGCAGTATATTTCCATCGTCTCATATATTTTATCCGAAAGGTCATGTTGTGTTACGGCGTACACTAGACAGTGGGCAGCTATTGCTAATTCCACAATAATAACCTTCTAATTAGTATTAATAAATTAAGCTGAAACCAAACCCACTAACATATGCGAAAGATCCATAGCAAATTTATACCTTTCGTATAACTCAGAGTGAAAATGTATGTAGATCAAAATCGAACTGGACGACTCGAACAAGTGGATTAATGGCTAAAGTTATAGAAAACAAAAGGATTATTCGGGCTAATTTCATTTAAAACGGATGTAATTAGTGGTTTTACATTTTTATTACACAGGCATAAATATATTAGTGTTAGGCCTTAGTATTCGAATATTCGATCGCAGAACTCATGTATTCGAATATTCGTACATGTATACTAGCATAGGCAGATATACGAATACTCGACATAAATTAAATTTCATCGATGTCTTCCCGCTGTCGTGCGATGCATACGTTGCGATCAGATTGTCCCTATTGAGTCCACGATCTGGTACGTGCAGATACGTTTTGATACGATCAACACGATTGCTACGACTGACCTCAGTATATGATAAGACCTGACAGGATCACCACGATTACTCCACGATTAAAACCACGATGTCAATCGTAGCCCGAATCGTGATAGTGAGAACATAGCATAAAATAATTATTATAGTAGTAGCGGCTTGTCATTAGTTATATATAGCAGCTCGGAAATTGCATTATAATCACAGATGTGGACTCCCGCAGTTTGTTCAATGGGGATTGTTATAACTTATATATCATACATCACTAAATAGAGGATCTTTTTTATAATATTATGTAAATAAAAATATGTCGTCCATGTGATATCAGTAGCACTTGATATAGTATATAGTCTTGTTTTGTAGAGTTTTAAGGACAGTCTAACCGCAGTATATTTCTATCGTCTCATATATTTTATCCAAAAGGGCACGTTGTGTATACGGCGTACACTAAACAGTGGACAGCTTTTGTTAATTCCACGATAATAACCTTCTAATTAGTATTAATTAATTAAGCTGAAACCAAACCCACTAACATATGCGAAAGGTCCATAGCAAATTTATACCTTTCGTATAACTCAGAGTAAAAAAATGTATGTAGATCAGAATCGAACTGGACGACTCTAACAACTGGATTAATGGCTAAAGTTATAGAAAACAAAAGGATTATTCGGGCTAATTTCAGTTAAAACGGATGTAATTAATGGTTTTACATTTTTATTACACAAGCATAAATATATTTGTGTTAGGCCTTAGTATTCGAATATTCGATCGCAGAACAAATGTATTCGAATATTCGTACATGTATACTAGCATAAGTCAGATATACGAATACTCAACATAAACTATAATTGATCTATGTCTTCCCTCTGTCGGGCGATGCATGAGTTGCGATAAGATTGTCCCTGTTGAGGCCACGTTCTGGTACGTGCAGATAAGTTCGGATACGTTTTGATACAATCAACACGATTTCTACGACTGACCTCAGTATATGATAAGACCTGACAGGATCACCACGATTACTCCACGATTAAAACCACGATGTCAATCGTAGCGCAAATCGTGATAGTGGGAACCTAGCATAAAATCATTATTATAGTAGTAGCGGCTGGTCATTAGTTATATATAGCAGCTCTGAAATTGCATTATAATCACAGATGATATGAGCTCCCGCAGTTTGTTCAATGGGGATTGCAAGGTCCCACATATGTTTATCCAGATTAGAACCTGCTAGCCAATGATCAGCGCTTGCTTTATCGTGTAAACTCGAAATCGAATGAGCATCAATTTCCAGAAGTTGCTTAATTAGTCAAGTTTTATCTGGGGATACCAACCACTAACTTCGGAAAGGGGGGCATTGTCATAGGCAGGTGCGATATGCTCTTGATTTTACCTGATCCATTTACCCGTAATATGATTTCATTTTGATAACGCTTAGGCCAAGTGCGATCAGCAACCACGCAAATTAGTAAATCGGCAAATGTGACCCGAATCTCAATGCCACAAAAGCAGTTAGGATGAACTGAGAGATTAAATTAATGATAGATCACAGATTACCCGATCCATTTATCCTTAATATGATTTCATTTTAATAACGCTTACGCCAAGTGCGATCAGCAACTACACAAAATCAGTAAATCGGCAAATTTCACCCGAATCTCAATGCCACAAAAGCAGTTAGGATGAACTGAGAAATTAAATTAATGATAGATCACAGACTTTGAGATAGTCCCCGCGAAAACGAATCGGGTGGCATAACTAATATTCACAAAGGTCAGTTTTTGATCAAAAGTATTCCAAGAGGTGACTGCTTATTCACGATTTTCGGTTTTTAATAAAGAAAAGGGATTATTTCCCCTTTTTAAATACACCTGTACACCAAATGTTTATTTCTTCTTTCTGATTCTGGGAGTAGAATCAATTCACAACCATAACTTCAATCAGGTTTGATTTACGTTTGCCCTAGGCCTGTTTATGTGACACAAAGCCTGGCTATGGACGAATTTATAAAATAAAATATACACATTAGTGGACTTTACATTTAGATTAGTTCGACATTAGTGGGTTTGTGCTCCAAGGGCGAATTGTTAGCTTATTTCCTGAAACATATTTCCCATCATTTATAAACACGCCATTGTTCTGTTCATATTTTAATTATTAAGAGTTGGTATACACTGATGATAACGGTATTTTCAAATCACACGCGTGCGCCACCAAGTTATTACCGTGATACGATCTTGCCTCATTATACAGTTACGAATTTAAACCATGATCAGGTTGCCTAACAGAATTGCTTTCTCGAATAAAATGAAATGGGGTTTAAAGTCCTACCATTCTGCTAAGGAAAACCCACACTCAGGCGCCATGCAATTTGCCATGACTGACAGTGTGTATACGGGGCCTCGGTTTCTCGTACCACCCGAACGACTAGACGCTGTTCCTACCGCACCAATGGCGAGAGCGGAGGGGGCGGCTGGGTGAATTCCGACGAACTTCCTCGGTTACTGATTTAGCCATCCCACCCCACCAGGAATCAATACCTGTGTATATTATAACATTCTGTATCAGGGCTGACAACAATGGTATTCCGTTGATACTTTGCGAATCGTTTTCAAGATCATATTATTATCAATCATTGAATGGTTAGTTAAATTAGGGTAAAAGATAGGGCCCATTGCAGATTTCCTCATAGGTCGCGTGATTGTTGACGAGATTATGGGTTAGGGTTAGCACCAGTCTTCCCCCTAACTCTATTTACATCTCGTGATCTAAGACCAAATCTGCAATGGGCCTTAGCTTTTAGCCCTAACCTTTAATTAGTCCATACTTTGCTTACGAGTCCAGGTTCTCAAAAAAAGCTGTACACTTCCTCTTTAATAGGTTGATGGAGCCCCCAATGTTAAACATATTATGGATACGTGGACACGTCAGATGGGTTTCCCCTACATTAATGTGACGTTTAATACTGAAACAAGTAATGTGGGGAAGTCAACAGTATCTGCTTCACAGAGACGTTTCCTTAGCGATGCAAACACAACCTTTGATGCCGCTGAATCCGAATTTGGGTGAGTTCTTCTACAATAGTCTTCAATGAAATTTTCAAAATGAAATTTGACTAAACTATTTTTTATAATTCAAACTTCTGTAACTTCATGCAAAGTATGTTCTCAGGGGAACGTTGAAATGTAGTGTGAAAGCATAACACTTTAAACTAGCCAAACATAAAATGATTAACTGATTATTAAGGTACATAATTTAGCGTGAGAAAACCACAAAAGTCGAAAAATGTTGTTTTTAACTTTTTTTTAAATCTAAGCTTTGTATTTTTCAATAGGTATAAATGGTACGTGTCACTTAATTACATAACATCTGATGGAACAAATGGTAGTCAAGCTTTAGATTTAACCGATCGTAAGTATTTGGACACTTCATTTTGAAAGCAACCCCAGAAATAAAATGTCTCGATTTAGTTCATTTAATATTCGTTTTGTGCCTGAATCCTTTATTTGAATGTCCGTTATCTTCCAGAGACCTTCACTATTAATATAGATATCAGAGATCAAACAAAATGGATAAAGTTTAATGCTGGTCAAACGGGGTTTTACAGAGTTACCTACCCTGATGATATATGGATTAGATTTGCAACGGTATTAGCTAATGGTGTTACAGGGGTAAGACTTTCACATATTCTCTTAATTAGAATCAATCTATCAATAATTATGTATTGGTTTAGTATTTTAATTGTCTTTAAATCCCCAGAAAACATAAAGGTCACAAGGCCATATTTTATTCTTGATTAAAGATGTGTATTCTTTAATTACAGTCATTACCAATGAGTGCTGTGGACAGATCGGGTTTATTAGATGATGCATTCAGTTTAGCAGCTGGGGGATATCTCAGCTATGACGTAATGCTGAGTATGACTTTATACTTGGATAAAGAAGACAGTTACATTCCTTGGGATTCAGCTGCCACTGGAATCAACTATATTAGTCATATGTTAGAATATGGTTCAGATTTTGGGTCATGGAGGGTATGATATTTATATCTCATCCAAACTTAGTACCAATTACAATTAGGAGTTAAAAACCGACTGTTTAGAATTTAGAGGGCTGTTATTGCTCATCTGATACGTTTAATCAATGATCTCGACCTGTAAAGCAATAACAGTCTCATAAATTTTAAACAGGTCTGTATCGATATTGTAGCCCAAAATATTAAACGACGTACTTTATTTCTTTATTTCGTGATTTTTGACGGTGGTTTTTTGCACAGCTGTATATAGATAACGTCGGTAAATGTGACAAAAGGGTGTATCTAAGAATTTCGAAAGATTAAGAAATATAACCTTTCGCATTTCAAAATTTCCACAAATCAAGATACAACATTTGGACACGTGATACCCAGCACAGCTCTAATTGGAGTAGAGATACACAGCTTAGACAAAAATGTGCATATTAATTGGGAGATTTTAAAAATGCAAAGAAGTGTATTTGACTAATTTCCCGAGATAAACCCTTTTGACACTTCACCGACGATATATGGCTTTGAATTTTTGGTTTTAATGACGTAAAAACCAAAGAAAACAATTTTGACGTGATGAAAATATCTTGACGTAATAAGTTAACACACTGCTCTCGTCCGATTTGGTTAACTGGCCGTGTTAACATTCGTGTGATCGTGAAGGTATGTTGTATATCGCACTGATGCGATTGCTATACTGATTTAAAGACTTGTCATTTCGACGGTGTGATTGTTACTTAGCCAAAAGCCCTGTATGAAAATCAGCATTTTTTCTCTACCCAGATCAGTCAGCGTTCTATTTTTTTTAAGAATATGCCACCATAAGTTAATAACAACCTTGTGTGAGTTATAATATTTTTTTCAGTGTATAAAATCTTTGAATTTGACCAGTCTGATTAGTTATTAATAAATATTCCGGTTCGTTCTCCTAATATTTCCAGGTTGTACGTGACAAGGAGTAGGGTCGCCTGTCCAACCTCGTGGGTTTTATCCGGGTCCTCCGGTTTCCTTCCACTGCTAAAGACCCCTACGTGCAAGCGAATTATTGAAATAAAATTAAACCATATGTTAGTTCCGAAATGACCTTGTTTGTGTCGAGTGGACGTTAACCCCCTCTCTCCCTCTCTCTCTCTCTCTCTCTCTCTCCTAATACTAATAGTTGATTCATTTCGTGTAGTATAATGATACCAGGTTACATGTTTTTGTTCTTTTAGAGCTATGTACTTGCCAGAGTAAAACCAGCACTGAATCGTATAGGTTATACGGACACAGGATCTCATTTACAGAAGTGAGAAACAATATTGAAATAAACCCTAGTAAACGTGTTATAGAAATATAGTTTCAGGTTTTCACGCCATTTGAAGTTATTGATTAAATTATATATTATTTTACCCTTTAGGTATAGTAAATAACCCAATACAAACACTGTATGTAACAAATCAAAGGGGGTAATTAACGAAATAGATTCTATAAAACGAAAGGATAAATGGAATAATTAGTAAATATCCAAGTCGGATACATTTGTTTTTACAAACAATATCTTATTTCGTTTAACATATTAATGTGGGAATATTACAGATCTGTTAAATTAATTTGTTTTTTATAAATAATATCTCTTTCATTTGAAATCAGATTTAGGAATATTGAAAATCTATTAAATTAATGTACTGGTCAATTTTCTGACTGATACCATATGTTTTAGTAGAACGTGACTTCTTCTTCCATTTTCTTTCATACTAATCTGTTATACCACATTCCCTTTCTTTCACACAGGACACTCCGAGTTCAGCTAATAGATTTAGCTTGTTATCATGGTGATGAAGATTGTCTAAACTTCGCAGCTTCCCAATTTAGGAACTGGTTAGACAATGGCATCGCGTAAGTTACTAAGTGTCTTGTTTAGAATTGTGATATCCATTTGTAATAAACATGTATGTATTTATTATATTCATTATACCTTTGAGTGGTAGATATATTATAATATAGATAAAAAAACTTAACTTTACCTGTTGAAATTTATTTAATGTAAAGATTGTAATCCTTTTTGAGAGAAAATGGCAAAAGGGGCAATTTTAAAGATCAAATGTTCAAGAAGGAAACAGCTATCTGACCTTACACAGAACTGTAAAGCAAAAGAGAACAAATTATATCTCTGAGATATTGTTGTGGTTATTTTATTTTAGGGTAAATCCTAATCTGAGAACAACCGTATATAAATATGGAATGTCTAAAATTGGTACATCATCAGACTGGGAGCTCATCTGGCAGAAATACAAAACAGAAACTGTCCCTCAAGAACGGGTTAAGTTATTATACTCCCTGTCTCAAACTAAAACAATATGGCTACTTTCCAGGTAGGTATCCATACCTGTTACTAGTTTTGTTTGGGCTTTTTTTTTTGCTCTCCTGATCAGTTTTTATTTCCATTGAAGTGATAGATATTAGAATTTAATCGATCTGTGATATTTTGCAGAGTATAATAGACATCTTTTCCATCCTCGTGGAGAGCTACTGGTGGATCGGTATAGTTGATATACATGTATATTGTATCTGTATTGTGTAACATATTGTCTAAGAATATGTTTGTTGTTTTGTTTATCAAGATATTTAGATTATGCCAATGATCCGGATAAAGTACGATCACAAGATTTCTTCACGGTTATAATCTACATAGCGCAAAATCCTGCTGGTAATAATTTAGCCTGGAATTGGGTTCGTGAAAACTGGCCAAAACTCGTAGACAGGTACGTAAATGTCCACAATGCCAATCAAGAAATTATTCTTCAATTTTAAAAGTACCGCTTTGATTTAGCTGAAAAATGAAAGGGTTGTTTTGGTTAAATTTATCATATTACTGGTAATTCGTTTCACCAGAGGGAAATTTGTTCTTATTAAAAATTAAATGGATATGATATCGTGTTCGTTATATGATAAATAAACTATAGTCAGTCATGTATACATGTACACTGGTTCACCAAATAATATTCGCATGGCCTTAGCTCACCTTGAGTAATACAAATGCAATTTGGTAGTCAACAAAGATTATATTGTATATTGTAGTCAAATAGTAATAAATGCAGCTTTGAAAGTAGATATAAAGAAACAAACTTGCCTGTTGATAATAAAAGGCCCACCTTAGTATGCCTGGTATTGCACGAAGGGTTTCGGTAATAGATGGTTTAAAAATAGTAGCGTCACAACTACGGCTATTATTGACCGTAAAACACATCTGTGTGGGAAAGTCAGTTTGGTATTGAGGCGGATAAAGTAGAAAATTAAGTATTAAGTATCAAAACAACATTTGTGCCAAAATTCACAAGCTTACCTGTCCGTCGAAGATAGTACTTTTAGAAGCCTGTAAGCGCATTGGGAAGATATGAAATTTATAGTCCCGTCAACACATTTCTACTATATGTTTAAACATGTACCAACAAAGGTTTAAATGTTTTTGTATAATGCACGGGAAGACTCTTACAAGGATCCCCAATGGAATTGTTGAAATCTTAATGACATGGCATTGATTGGTTAATGGAAGATCAAATGTGAGCCTTCAAATCGGATAGGTGCCGTACCATAACGTTTGACTGTTAATATTTGTGAACAAGATATAATATAATGCATGGACACTTGGGAATCTCCTTTCGAAATCCTGGAGCTTGTTGTGGAAAATTTCTGAGGTATAAGCCCTAGGTTGATTTGGAAAGCTTGAGAAGTAAAGTTAAGATTGCCAATAAGATTCTCTGTATCATTACAGAGTTGCCATTTCAGTTCACACTATTAGATCATAAATTTCAAATTTTCACTAAAAGTATATGGATTTACAAATAAGCGTGTCTTATCTGGATTTTATTTTTATCAAGCTTAAGGCATCTTATATAGTTAGAATTCAGAGTCACGCTTCTCGATTAAACACGGTCTGCAACCGGATTGCCAAATCTGTTACACATGTAAGGAAATTATTTAACAAAAGCAAGGAAATTGGTCAATTATATTGGATATCGATTGATTTTGTTATTGATGCTCGTCATTAGAAAACCTTTTTCTATTTTCATAGAAATCGTAATGTTTCTAGTTGTACGCACACTTTAGGCTTTGAAATAGAGACATCAAATATCTATTGGCTAGGTATTCTAAGAAGAGTACACATACCTATATTACACTGATAATACTTATGTTTATTTACCAGATTCACCTTATATTCTCGACATCTTGGTCGCCTGGTACCTTCAATAATATCTGGTTTTAATTCTGAATTCCGTCTCCAAGAGGTAGGTATATTTTCTTCCTCACTTTTCTTGAAACAAAACAGTTGATCTAGACTACATCTAGCAAGGGTCAATGGGCAGGGCTCTATAATTAGCTTTTGTCCACTTCGGATGAGTTACAACCTTCAGGGACAATCACGTGCACCTGCAATTTTGTTGCCCACGTGTCCCCCCAGCATGCGATTGTACTCGTACGTTGCAAAACAATTATTTATGCTACGCGAGAATGACGTGTTGAGGGAATTTAATTTTCTTAAGATATAAGTGTATATATAGGTCAAAGTCTCGTGTTTCATTTCTGAGAACTGAGTACAATCATTCTCATTCTAATTCAAGAAAAACTCTCGGATCAATTCTCTCCTTAACTGCTATTTTTCAGGTTACGAGTTTCTTTGAAAAATATCCAGACGCTGGTTCTGGTTCTAGAGCAAGAAGGCAAGCTCTGGAGAAAATAGCTGTAAATGTGAACTGGATGACGAAATATAGCTCTGTTGTTATTGAATGGCTAAAATAAAACATGCGTAGGCGCCTGTGTCTTCCTATAAACTTAAGTTTAATGTGTACCATATATTATCTATAATTATATGTGTGAAGTAATGAGTATTCAATATAAAATATTACAAATGTATATTACGATTTATCAGGGAGGTTATGTATGATCATTTATACATATTATATGGAACAGTTAAGAAGTTACTAAGTAATCTTTCAGAGACATTAAGTGTTCTAATAAATACATGTAGTATATAGTTTATGATTGTAATTTTGATGTTAAGAGTTTTAAATACATGTAAAAATTTATACAAACGCCTTTTTTATATTTTGATTGTATTTATCATTTTCTTGTGTATACTAGTTTTATGTGTATATATCATCATTCCTCGACATTTAGTGTGGAATAATAAAAAAAAGCATGTGTTAGATTTACAAAACAAGACATGAATTGTTAATAAAACGGCCAGAGCATAAATTACTTTGGTTATATTACCAGTAATATTAATCCTTAAAGATTCTTTCCCGCGTACAAATTGGGTGATTTGATGAGATATTTGGACTAAAATGATATTCAAACTAATTAATCTATCAACATTTTGATTCAAATCCTTCTCAAAACATTGTATTCGCGAGGAAATACTTCAAGCTATAAAAAACTTTTATAATAAGTCATTATTTGTGTCACGTAACTTGGCTGTCGCGGTACCTAACAACGGGTTTGAGGAGAATGAGGAGAATTCATTCTATATAAAAGACGAAGTTGTCTTTAACTTCTGTCCATTTAACATAAATATCGAAGCCTAATTAAATTCCGGGATTATCCACTGTCCACGTCTTTTTCCGTGGTTTTTATCTTTCACTTCTTCCTAGTCAGCTCACTACATCAAGCCCTCCCTAACGCTGAGAGATTAGACAGTCTTCGCGAGAAACCTTTGACGTCACTCGAGCAGGCAGCTATTAATCGCCAGGCTGCCAATTAGTGACACCCTCTCATTTTTGTCTTGTGCGTAATTTGCGTATTACATAAATGATATTAAATGGGGTATAGCGTTCTGACAGCGGTGCCAAGACCTACTCTAAAATCGAATTCCATATAACAAGGGGGAACCACCCTGGAAAATCACGGTGAACTTTCACGGCCAACACGTCTTATTCACCGAACCATTTCAGCCGCCCATTAGAGTAGATTCAATTTATTGGATTTGATCTCCATTTCTGAAAATGGAATCTCCAGAATATAAAGTCAATTTCCCAGTTCCTTTATAATCGTGGCATTCGCAGCACTCGCGGCTTAGCATCCTGGTCGAGAAGAACATTCCGATTCCTACAAGACTAACCTGGGAAAACCACGACACCCGTCATGGAAGTACTGAAAACTGAATACGATCAGTACAGGGGGACGTATTGTCCAGGCTTATGTTTTGTTTGAATTAGGTTGATTACTAATTGTTCACATTACAAATGAATACGCGATAAGTAAGTAAACTTTAAATGTCTTATAACACAGAACTCCCCCTATCAAATGAGCTAATGGCTAACTAATGTTGTCATCAGTTACAAATGTTTTGACAACATTAACCAGATCGTGCAAGACCTAAAGGATCTCTAAAGCTGACGTAACACTACAGAAATCTAACCAAATGATCTGGATAATATTCCGTAAAGATAAAACTTTGAAATTTGTTATTATAATAAACCTAAACTTTTTCCCTTGTTTAAGCTTTTCTAAAATAAAGATCTATAATTAAAATCGTTGGGAAACTCTTCCACTTTATAAAGCATTTTAGTCATCCCATAAATACTACAAAGAGCTCTTATTGTAGTATTTACACAAGAAAAACACATTCAGTTTTTACCAAGTGCAGAAGCGGCGTTTTGGACCTAACATTATTGCAATGAAATGAAATGAAATGGGGTTTAACGTCCTACTGTTCTGCTCCGAACTGGGCTAATGAAGACGGCTATACACCATACAGTGTGCTATGGGGGAAATTTTGCCCGGACCTACTCTTATATCGAATTCCAACTGTCAAGGGATCTTTTACGTGCATTCCAATGTATACACGGGACCTCGGTTTTTCGTACCATCCTAACGGCTAGACAGCTGTCCTTGTCAGGCCCTCTGTCCTGTATCAATGACAAGGGGGAACCACGCCGGAACATCTGGATGAACTTTCTCGGTCACGCAGGGATCGAACACCCGACCTCCAGGCTAGCGAGTCCGCGTCCACTTAGCCATCGTGATCCCCTAACATTATTGCTTAAAGGAGCTAATTCTTTAATCTTTGGAAATGAAATGAAGTAAAATGGGGTTTAACGTCCTACTGTTCTGCTCCGACTGGGCTAATTCAGACGGGCATGAGGGAAACTTTGCCCGGGTATCTTTTACATGCATGCCAATGTATGCACGGGACCAAGGTTCTTCGTCCCATCCGAACGACTAGACGACCGTCTTTGTCAGGACCTATTTTCTGCACCACTGACAAGGGGAAACCACGTCGGAAAATCCCGATGAACTTTCTCGGCCAATGCAGGGATAGAACACGCGACCTCCAGGCTAGCGAGCCAGCGTCTTACCCACTTAGCTACCGTGGCTCCCAACTAGAAATGGACACAAATAGGTCGCAGCGCATACAATAATGTAATATGAATGTATATAAACTGATTTACATTCAGTCGTGTCTGTAATTTCTTATCAGTTACGTTCGGCGAAATACAGGAAGAGTCCCAAATGAGTAGCATTCTTTGGCCTCTGTTTATTCCAGTCTACACCGGTAGTATTCTCCCCTGGGATATGTTTAGCTTCGTTCATCGAGTCGCGTCATTACAAATGGCGCTCAATAGCATTCTGGCACGCGATTCGTGAGCCAATTTTAAAATGTTCACCGTGTCTCAAATATTGGATATCAGATTTAAATTGACCAATAAGTCGTGTTTGCAATGTCGAAGACTGTGGATGATATTGAGTTAAAAGACTTGGCTACTTTAACGCTTTTAAATCGAGATCAGTCGGTATCTTTGATTCTTCGGAAAGCGCGAAAGACGAACGACGAACAATAGGGAAATTACGCTGTAAAAATTAAAACTAAATATTTCAAGACGAAATGTGCTGATAATATGAGAAGGCGTCTATTTTAAATACCATTCAAAGATATAAAGTATTTATTTATCTCTAGTTTATTTATTTTTCTTCATTCATTCATTCATTCAAATGTACTCCAATAAAACAATTAAACACAATGCCTTAAGATACTTGTTGCAAATTAACCACAACTTTCATCTTGGCACGTTCTTTTGATTTCGATGCTGATTTTATGGTTCAAGCCTATAAATACATAAACTCTTGTATTCGTTTCACTATCATTCAGCACATGAATACATTTATTTTTGTATAAAATGTTGTTTTTTCAAGTTACAGAACTAATAGACCCACTTACTAATCGAAAATCCCAGCACTGGCCTACTTAGGACAAGGGACCACAGTTAATTGAACACTTTGAAAATGTGGAGGTCAGTTGTATCATAAACTCTTTTAACTTAATGGGCATATTTGTCTGAATTGTTACATACATTGTAGTCTAAACATGACCGACTAAACTGCGTATTCATATGAACAAATGAAAAGAAACATTACCGACCAAATAAATAATGTATTTATAGACCTGAATAGTATAGAAAAGAATCCAAAATAAATGTATTTATATGTCTGTACGGAAGAAAAGAACGGAAAAAGTTAAAAAGTGTGCTTAAATTATAACAAGTAGAAGTACTCTTTTTAAGGAATTAATTAAAATATGTATTAGTTAAACTAATCAACAAATAATAAAATCAATGACAATTATTATTTATATAGCAAAAAAAGGAAAAATGGATAAGCGAATATTTAATGAATTAAGTAAATAAAAGACATGTCTTTAAATGGTATTTAATTCAGACGCCTTCTCGTGTATCAGCACCTAGCATTCTTCGTTTCATTGTGAAATGTCCGGTAGTTCAGTAGTTAAATTACTTTTCAATGCGATGTACCCCCACTGTAAGCTTAAGGACACAACCTCTTGTTTTACATTAGTTGTTCTTTATAAATTAGTTCCTAGCCTGTCCTTATGTGGAAAGATATTGACTAGCAAAAGTAGTACAATAATGTTATGTTATTTATTCACATGATCTTACTTTCGTGTATATTAGAAACATGAAAAAAATGGGTATACAATTCAATGATTGGGTCACTTACCATCAGGTCCTGGGGTAGACCGCGGTGTTGTCCGAGAAAGTCCCTTGTTTACCCATCTTCATTAATCCGGTTGGTGCAGAAAAGTAGGACGTTAAACTCCAATTCGTTCCATTTCTACAAATATATCATTGTTCAATATTCCCTACCATTTGAAACATGACCCAACGCCGTGAAGGAAATGAAATGAAATGAAATTTAACGTCCTACAATTCTCGGCCGTGAAGATCAAAGGGCAAACAGCTAGCACTCCCCCCCCCCCCTGTTTTGTATCAACATACTTCAGAGAGGGTAGGTCCAGTTGACGCGTGACGTATTCGTTTTCAAAAAGTTTTTTTCTTGCGGAATGATATTGGAGTGATATCTGTTTCGTTAACCGTGTGTACCTTTATTGTAACTAATGTATCCAATTAAGGCAATTTGATGGATTTTAATGTTATGTTAAATAATATAGAATATAGATAAGTATACGAACTGGTTTACACTAACATATATAGTACAGTAGGGTGACCCATGTACTCTACAGAAATACAGTCCACCGCTGATAGTTCGAGACTACCACTGACGCGTGCACATTCGCCGTGCCGAGACCAACTTTCTGACAGTATGATACTATAAATAGCCATGGCACGTGCAATTCTCTACAAATCTATCAACTATTACAGCCGTAAAAAAATTTATTGTTGACGATTTTGAATAGCAGTGAAATTAAGCTTCTTGGTTATTACAGCAGATTTAGAAACTACGTTCGTTTCATTTTTTAAATCGCTTTATCATTAACTGTACCGTTAAGAGCGGCATCTTTTGGTTTAGTACAAATAATATCTCTAAATCACTCGGGTTAGACAGGAACATGATACTAGCAGTAGTTTCATTTTACTTTTACAAGGTTCTTAAAACGATTGTTGAGCTACCTAACGTGCTTATTTCTAAATTCAATTTCTTGTTCTAGCTTTCTGTTTCGTAAAAAAGTAGTCTTGATTATCCCGACCTGTCAATCAGACGTAGAATTGTCGATAGACTGGTTAAGCGAGACTAATTTCTAAACAAGGGCACGTAACCTATCTTTTACTCAAAAGTGTCTGGATGTTATGGACGACACTTGGAACCAGTGTTCAGTCTATTATTTATAGATGATTAATGGTCATAGCTTATTAAGTACAACTTGATCGTTTATTTAGTGACTATAATTGTGTGAAACTGATTTGAGGCTTGGCATATATATAAATATTGTGGCGTAGTTGTCGAGATATATGGAGATATTTATTTATGGTGGGTCACCCTAACAGTATAGTATAACAAATCTATTATGTACAGAAACCAAGTGTACTATGCCATAGGCGTTATTGTTACTTTACGAACGGCTAATTCTTTGTTAGGTGTGTATAAACTTTGTGAATATAATGTACAGGGTGCGTCACACATGACACGAAATGGCTAGCATTCTGTTTATTATCAATAATACCATTCAAAGGCTTGATACGTTTAATTGCCGTTGCTTGTCTGTGATATCCTCTTCGGTGGAAGCGGGCGTGAGCCCCAGAAAAAGCAGGAGAAGTTGCCGTTGATTCAATTAAAAACCGGTTAATAGAATTCAACCATGGACTGGATTTATGTGTTGTTGTTAACATGCTTCCCAATGACATCTCACATGGGATCAAGCCATGAATGTGTGTGTGACGATAATCAGAAGGTAGTAAAAATTTACCGTCATAACCTTACAAGTGATCTGTCCGGCGTGGATGCGTTTTATGATGTTGATTTATCACATGAGTCCATAACAGATTTACAAACTTTATTGTCATCTTCATTAACTTCAATACGACTTCAAATAATACATTTAAATCTAAGTTATAATCATATCCAACAGGTTCAGGGGTCATTCGTTACCTCGTTACCGAAACTACGAAGTATCGTTTTATCTTCAAATAATATTTCTTCTGTAGACAAGTGCGTGTTTATGGATGCCAAATGTTTACAAACAATAGACATAAGTAGAAACAATATAGAACAGCTACCATCAGGATTACTGGGAAGACAAGGCGAGGTGTTGAGGATTAAGAAATTTAATGCTTCACGTAATCAGATAAGCTCCATGGGATCGGAACTGTTTCATGAAGGTTTAATATATCTGAAAACCGTTGACATTTCTTTTAATAATTTGGAATATTTCGACTCCTGGCCTTATAAAACCAAGTCTATCGACCAGACATTGGTTTCAGGTTGTCCCATAGATATAAATACATCATCATTACGTTTAAATTACATAACCGCCGAGGGATATACACATTATAATGACATAAGTGTCGAGGGATATACGTTTAATTTGTCACATAACAACATATCATATTTCAAAAGAGCACTAGGACTGGAACTGGGGCAACAACAAAATTTTAAAATTGATCTAACTTTTAACAACCTTCAAGATTTAGCAGGTTGTATTAAGGCATTAAATGCATCTACACCATCGGATATAGCATTTTTACGCCTAGAATTAAAAAATAATCCATGGTTTTGTGATTGTTCAGTTTACAATATAGTTCATCGCGTGAATAACAGCTTGTACATGGATCAGGCCACGGAATATCTGTATTGCCAAGATCCACCCGATCTACGAAATAAATCGTTCGGTTATTTAATGAAAAACATGGATAAATTAATTTGCAATATAAGTGAAGATTGTCCTATTGGATGTTTATGTCAGGATCGGCCTTCCGAGGATCTGTTAACAGTTGACTGTAGTATGGTCAAAACTCTCACGAGACTGCCAGAGCGACTGCCAAAATACCCACGGATATCTTTAAATTTATCTGGTAATCAGATACAAATAATAGTCACAAAAAAGTACACCAATGTTTTAACTCAATTGGATGTTTCTCATAATAGGCTGACATATATCCATCCTAAATTCTTTGATGACGGCGAAATGTTGAAATTCGTGGATATAAGTAGCAATTCCCTCACTTCTTTGCCTATCACATTGCGAAATCTAAGACTACCTTCATCTGATGTTCGAGTAGAGAACAATTCTTTAGTATGTTCTTGTGACAGTTTATGGATGAATGATTGGCTGATGGAAATAGACGGAAATAATATGACATGTACTGTGAATGGAAATGAACATTATATACAATCAGTTACATACAATAGTCTAACATGTTATAGAGATCAAGTATTAATAGCGTGCTTTATTTTAGGCGGTTTATTATCTGTAATTATTATATTTGTTGTAGTGTGTTATAAATGGAAATATGAAACTAGTGTTTTATTTTATCATGTATTTGGAGTTCGACCCTTTGATAAGCCGAAAAAAGTAGATGTGAAGGAAGATGCACCAGTGTTTAGTTGTGATGTATATATTTCTTCAAACAGACAAAACCCTAAAATAATAGGCTGGGTTACAAAAAGACTTTTACCAAAACTAAAGAACTTTAACAAGACATATTACTATCCGCCCAAAGATGACATTCCTGGTGATAGTCAAGCAGACGCAATTACCGACGCCATGGCGTGTAGTAGAAAAATCCTAGTTATTCTAGATGACAGTGAATTAGACAAAGAATGGTGTATTGAAGAGTTTTACATTGGGCATCAAATTGCTGGTAAAGTTATCCTCGTACTTTTTGACAGTCCAAACAAATTTGAAGACATAGAAACTGAACCAATACAAACTTATATAAACCGACAAAATTATATTCAAATGGATCATAAACTATTTTGGCCTAAATTAAAATATGAACTGTCAAAGATGAATTGAGTTACGTGACATATTTATCAAATATAAGGCAAATAGTGAAACATTTTGGTTACACCCGTAGTCTTGAAACCCAGCGGAAATAATCGATAAAGTTTGTGGAGTTTTTTAGAACGAAAATTGATAAAGCCTATCACATAATACTGCTTGTAACATCGATCGAAATCTATTACTTTTGAATTAGTTTTAAAAATATCTGCCCCATAGTTAATAGTTTTACAAATATATATTGCCTATTACCTCTTGATTATCAATAAACAGAATTGATAATGTTTCACTTTCTGTTCTTTGTCCAAACCTGAAAATTTATAACAATTTACATAAACTAAAATATTAAGAATTCTTGTTGAAATACCTTATATCAACCGACACTAAAGTACAGCTGAAATTGTGCACATTATGGGGTTCAGTTAAAAATAGATATGTGATGTAATAGGTAAATCATGAATATTTTGTATAGTTAACTTACACTTATAGGACCAACACGTGATTTCTGCAAACTTTATACATATCTATATCAAAGGTTATTCTAATGTATATAAAAATGCTTTATGCTACTAAGAAATAAATTACAATACAATATTATATTTTAGTTATTAAATATTATAGTTGCAGATATAAAAATATGTTCTTCTACTTTCTTATGTTTTATGATATTTAAAATGGTACGAAAAACCGAGGTCCCGTGTACATATTGGCGTGCACGTAAAAGATCCCTTGGCAGTTGGAATTCGATATAAGAGTAGGCCGTAGCGCCGCTACCCGGGCAAAATTTCCCTCATAGCACACTGTATGGCGTATGCCCGTCTTCATTAGCCCAGTTTAGGAGCAGAACAGTTGGACGTTAAACCCCATTTCATTTCATTTCATTTCAAGGTTTGATTAGTAGGAAAGGGTGATGGCACAAAGTTATGACAGGGCATGATATACATTCAATCTAATTAAAGTTCAAAATTTCGTTTTACTTGTCTTTACAACACTAGGATCTGGAAGAGTTGTTATATAATTCGCGTTCTGGATGATGTGAGGGATTAGCCAATGTGAGGTGCACGGAACTGTGGGTAACCCACTAGAAACATCAATGCTGATTGGTTAATCAAATTTCTGACGTCATAGGGCCAAAAACCACTCGTATGACCTCTGACGCGACCTTCCAATACAACCTTCATGTAGTAGATACCATCAAATGTATAAAAAACGAAACGAAACATAGATCTGTATTTTAATCAGATTGGATATACATTCAGTTTAATAAACTCGTTTTAAAATGCAGATGTGACGTGATCCATTGATGTTGGCTTAACATTATTTCAAATATTGGTACGGGCAATGTGCCAAGCGTATATTATTTATACTAGTTGAAATATTGGACCCGCGTAACGTATTTCATTGAAATGCGCATGCTGGATAGAGTCTGTATTTTAACTTGTTTAATGGTCTCGTGAAAGACATTGCACTATCAATATATTACTTAATGTCTCACACCATTAAACTACACATATTACATTGGATGATGATTATAATAAAGAAAGTGTACACATTATTTTGCCAAACTTCCACTCCATTTTTTTTTTAAAAATGCTAAAAGGCTATTGGCGTGTAAAGAATGGACACTACTTGTACCAGTGGCGTCTGGCAATTCCACAGCGGTTCCAGTTTGTAGGCTATTTAATCTGACAGAAAGGGACTCCAAATCACATCTACGTTGATATAATTTTCAAACATTTGTGGGGAAAGGATCCCGGGTCCTTTGGTTGTCTGTCCCTTACTCCACGATAGTATTTACTAGTAAGTTCCCAAGAATGCATATAATGTTTTAATACGGGGAATTCAAATTTAAGTGTTATTTACAAGTATGTTCCTAAGAATGCGTATGTTTTAATACACATACATTATGCAAGAGCTAAATCTGCCTATTCCGGGTCTTTCTTTAGGCCTGAAATGGTATCTAAATAAGTAATTATTAATTAGACATTAATTAACTTATTCAGAGCATAATCAACTCTCGATGGCATCGCTAGCCTACGATATGAATCCGATCCGGATTTGAATTCGATCTGCTGTTCAACGCTCATTGATGATTAAATCCAAAAGTGAATAATCGAGACTATGTTGGGTTTTTTTTTATCGTACCGACTTTAGTAATGGTGATCGAGGCTAGGCCTAAAATTCAAAAGCTAATCTTGGTTCAGAGTAGATTAATTTGAAATTTTCAGCAAATTCCCTTTACATTATCTAGTTTTTAACTATTATAGTAAGAGCTGCCAGTTCTTTATCTAATCTTCCATAATGTATCTTAAGGGGAATTCAAATTTAAGTGTCTATTTGATTCACGCTCATTCCAGTACCACCTTTTTCACATAATTAAGAATACGTATCTCAATTTTGTAGAGAGGGGTTTTACATAGGCTAAGCCTGTTCCCCAATCCCATTCAGACAACCTGAATAAAAATATTGGTTAAAAAAAAATCTCAATTTTGTGAGGCTCATATAGCACCATACACTCTATATTATTTACAAAACTTGGTTATATATTGTGTGTTATTATTTTTTTGTTTCTTTGCGACTCTTCGATTAATTCTCTTTATCTTGACAACCACGATTATGGGTTTTCTCTCTCCCTTTTACATGGCATTTGTACATTTTACGTTACTGCCAGGTTTTGGTGAATATTCCTGATTTTGAAGCGGAAGGATCAGTAAGTAATCAGACATGACGCCACTGCATGTAGATTCCTTTGACCAGGCCTAGCAAAAAGTTGAAAGGTTAAAAAAATGTTATAGCACAAGGGATGGCATGAATTTATAAAGTCAATGGGAAGAGAATTACTAATTAGTCTAGTCACCATTAAATGTAGCTACTACCCCCCCCCCCTCTCTCTCCACATTGAAGTCAATGGTAGGGTGACCCACCATAAATAAATATCTCCAAATATCTCGACAATTACGCCACAATATTTATATATATGCCAAGCCTCAAATCAGTTTCACACAATTATAGTCACTAAATAAACGATCATGTTGTACTTAATAAGCTATGACCATTAATCATCTATAAATAATAGACTGAAAACTGGTTCCAAGTTGCGTCCATAACATCCAGACACTTTTGAGTAAAAGATAGGTTACGTGCCCTTGTTTTGAAATTAGTCTCGCTTAACCAGTCTATCGACCATTCTACGTCTGATTGACAGGTCGGGATAATCAAGACTACTTTTTTACGAAACATAACAGAAAGCTAGAACAAGAAATTGAATTTAGAAATAAGCACTTTAGACAACTCAACAATTGTTTTAAGAAACTTGTAAAAGTAAAATGAAACTACTGCTAGTATCATGTTCCTGCTAAAGAAAGTGATTCAGAGATAGTATTTGTACTAAACCAAAAGATGCCGCTCTTAACGGTACAGTTAATGATAAAGCAATTTAAAAAATAAAACAAACGTAATTACTAAAGCTGCTGTAATAACCAAGAAACTAAATTTTACTGCTATTCAAAATCGTCAACAATAGATTTTTTACGGCTGTAATAGTTGATATATTTGTAGAGAATTGCACGTGCCATGGCTATTTATCGACTCAAAGCGAGTGCGGGGTAGTCAGAAATCAGTTCGAGACACGCAACTGAAGCGTGCACATTTAGCCGTGTCGAGACCAACTTTCTGTAAAGTGCACGGGTCACCCTATCAATGGAGATTGGACAACATGAATACCGGTATGCCTCAAGATCAGCATGGAAATTAAGAGTTACTTCCCTTTAATTCTCTTTACTCAACCGGCAGCTATTAATCTGAAATAAAATGGGGTTGAACGTCCTACATATTTACACTGACGGGGTAATACGCCATTCGGTGTGCTAAGGGGGGGGGGGCATCCTCGTCGAATTCTCAAAAAAGTCATGGGTTACGTCGGCACCATGGTGAAACCGGAAACCGGGGTCGAACCTGGGACCACCATTTAGTGAGTTACCGCCAAACTGACTGAGGCAAGCCTTGCTCCCATGGAGAAATGTATTTATTAAATTTCGTTTGTATTTAATCATATTAATAGGTATATAACGATCATATAATCCAAATTTACAGAGAAATACGTGGACCCCCTTAAAGAGAGTTGTAACATATTCAGCAATAGAAAATTAATGGAATCATATTTAAAATAACCTTAGTCCCGATTATCTAATTATTGCAAATCTAAACACCGGCCTCCGTAGAGCAGGTTTTGTTTACGAGCGTTGAACTCACTGAAAACGATAAAACGTCTTTACCTCAGTGACGAGATTAATAAGATTTGTCAGCTTGCATACATTCTAATCGCAACGCCCCTGACAAAAACCGGAAAATCTAAAAGTCAACAGATATCCTTCTGAAATACCAATATGCTATCAAAGAATACAATCTGTTAATATTATTCTTATGTAACTAACTAATTACAGATACATTATCACAAAAGTATTTAACGGGTAATTATTACCAATAAAAGTATGGTAATTTTGGTATATATGGAAAGTAGAAATACCCATCTTACTATAATAATGCTGGATTCACCGACAATCAACCATGCTGCGCGCACAAAATGTCTTCTTCTGATTAAAATGTTTTTAGTCCAAGATGACTGTTGCGGTGTGTCTTGCTCTATCATGTTTTTAAATCTGAACTGGGATTGAACTGTTATATTTGGATAATGTTTTTAATATCTTGCCTATAAAGTTATATAGATTTGATAGGCAGAAAAACTTCTAACTCGAAATGTTTTATTTTGAATGTAATTGGAAAATTTGCTTATATTTTACAATATTCCAATTAATTCATCTTAACACACCTAATTTAAAAAATTGGAAAAATCCAACTAAATGATTTGAAAAGCCTGACGTAAAGCTTTTCAAATGTGACTTGGATTTAAAAATATTTTTGAACCCTCTGGACATGTAAAATAAGATTTAACTGATAATTTACACAAGCTCGTTTTAATATTTCAAATATTTTTTTTTTAAATTGGTTAGGATGGTATATGAGAAGTAGGACACTAAAGGTTTGTGTAAATGGTTCTTATTCTAAGTTAATAAAACTGAAATATGGTGTACCTCAGGGAAGTGTTTTAGGCCCGATTTTATTCACTTTGTTCTGTACCCTTCTAGAAGATATTATTGTACGTAACGGCATCGATTTAATGCTCTAAGTCGATGATACTTAACTTTAACACAGGTGTAAGAATGTAACAAATAATATACAGCGCAGAAAAATGTATCAATGAAATTAGGACATGGGTGGTTGACAACAAGTTGGCTTTAAACGATAAAAAGACAGAGATACTACACTTTTACTCTTAATTTCGAAGAAAAGAAAAAATATATATTTTAGATACTTTAAAGGTCGGCAACACACCAGTTAAATCTTGCACGGCTGTCCGTAATTTAGGTTTTAATCTTGACAATGTTTTATTCTTACATGACCATATTTCTAAATTTTGTAAATGTGTATCCTATTTATTATTTCGTATTGTGTGTATAAAAAAGTCTTTAGATCGTAAAATTCAAAATCATGATATTAAATTATAAATGTCTTCATAACTATGCACCTCTCTTTCAGAA